ATTTCTTTTTTTCTTTATGTGTTCATGTAAGTATATGTTTGTATCTACATGCCCATGCAGGCTAGAAGGGGGGTGTTAGATTATCTGGAGCTGGTGTTACCAGTGCTGGTAACTGAACTAAAGTCTTTTGGAAGAACAGGACATACTGTTAATTACTGGGCCACCTCTGTAGCCCCTGCTTCCCTTTCTTAAAGTTGGTTTGTTACTAGGAAAATGGGAGGTGAGATCCAAAGCATATCATGAGGAGTCTGTCCTCAAGGCTTCTAACCCTGCTAATTAATGCCTATAGCTTCCTGTGTTAGTTAGAATTTACTGGAAGAACAGAATGAATAGAATATCTATCTTAAAGGGAGTTTGCTTAATTGTCTTACATGTTTTAGTCTGGATAGTTGAATGGCTTTCTGTATGCTGGAGAGGCTGAGAACCTGATAGTTGCTCAGTCTGAGTAGCTTAGAGGATCTGCTGGTTTTCAGTACACATAGAAAGGGTAAAGAAGTTATGTTCTGACATTAGTGAAGTGTGACAGCATTAATGGAAGCCACAATTCACTCAGCTAACAAAGACCAAAGGCAAGCAGGGATATACAGCACTGCATTTTCCTCAGAACTTTTTATATCTTGATCACTTCCGGGAAGCACTGTCTACTCTGGGAGACAGTCTTTACCCTTCATATAATTCTTCCAGTGAACACTTTCACAAACTTGTTCAGAGGCTTGTCGCTTAGTCACCTGTAGATCCAGCCAAGTTGACAACCAAGGTATTAACTATCATACCATCTAAGACTTGTGGTCCTACTTAGTGTTACCAGTGACACCATTCTACTTGCTGTAGACTATATGGCATGCCACCATTCAGTCACTGGCTTGCTATGTGTCTTCTCACCCCCACTATTCTTATCTGGCTCATTTCTAATCAGATAGTATATCTCAGAGTAGATGTCATATGTCCTAGGAAACTTAACAGGAACATCTTGCTCACACTGGGTCAGGTTTCTTTTTGCTTGTTTTCTGCCATTATTGTCTGCCTACCTCTACAGTGACTGACTTCAATTTGAAATAATTATAAACCTGTGAATCTCCTCTTCCTTCTAAAAGGTGCACTCTTTTAGGACAGATCCTATGTCTTATTTGTCTTTAGTTCTCTAATATCGAGACATTTATTTCATTATAGAAAATCTGAAAGTAAATGAATGTAAAAAGTTGGGTTATGCTTTGCAAGTACACTAGCCATGAAGTTAGATAGTATATGTGAGAATAAAACACCTCTAACATATGGGACAAATTATTTTGCCTCTAATTGCTCTTTTGAGCATTTTCAATAAATATGAGATAGAATATCTTGTAAGTTGTATTGTTAGTACTTTGGAGTGTAGGCACAGGAGGCATACTCCATACTACTACCCTCAGCAGTCTTAAGAGTTCACCTAAAGATTTAGGGACCATGACTCAGGCCAAACCAGGCTTTAATGCTGAAAAGAATTTTAAAACTAGATAGTTTATGAATCAGAATTACATGTTTTATAAAAGATTTTATTAAAGATATTTTAATATAAGTTTAAGCACCAAGACAAGGAGAAAAAGCAATGCTTATAAGTAAGACACCTGACAGTGTGGATGTGGATTCATTTTCTTTTCCTTTTTGTTTGTGTGTGCTTATTTTAAATTCAGGGTTTCTCTGTGTAGCTTTGAAGCCTGTGCTGGAGCATGCTCTGTAGACTAGGCTGGCCTTGAACTTACACAGAGATCTACCTCCCTCTGCCTCCTAGTGCTGGGATTAAAGGTATATGGCTAGGGTATGGATTTCATTACGGTAAGTTTTTGTTATTGTTGTTCTGTTTTTAATTTTTTGAGACAAGGCCTTAATATGAATTCCTAGCTTGCCTAGACCTTGATAACTTTGTAGACCAGGCTAGCCCTGAACTCACAAAGATCAACTTTTCTATGCCCCTAGAATGTTGGAATTAAAGGCATGGAAAAACATCATGCACCAACAAGGCCAGTTTTACAGTAGTCATATATAGTGCTGTCATAGTGGGGCTTAGAGTTACTATCATATTACTGGATGGCTCCTAAGGGGCACCTGATAAGATGAATGTTAATAAGGTAAAAGGTCTACCACACAGACATACAGGAGGGTAAACAAAGTTAGTTTTCTTTTGAGATTCTTAAACAATGCTTGGGAAAGAAAAGTGTCACTGCAAAATAAATTGCACACTTGATGCGGGTATAGGTAACTATTTATTGCGGAAGGCACTTACAAGACAAACTGGGAACCCAGGTGAGTCAGCAGCTTTCTGAGACCAGACCGGAAGCCCAAAAGAGAACATGCATCTCTCCTGCACAGCTTTTTATTACCAAATCTGTATGGGCGTGGTCAGTGGCACAGGTATCTAAAATCTCTCCCTACAGAAAGGATCTATACCGAAGGTTTTACACATTCAGACCTTAAGCTTGGGTAATTTCTACCTTAACATAAAATACATATATATGAAATTAATATTAACTTTATGTCAGCAGTCTTTACAGCAAATGTTAATCGTGCTGGAATTCTTGGCTTCTTAGCTGACAAGAGATTGTAGTCAAACTGTAGGATGTGGGTGGAGCTCTAATCACATCCTTCCTTTTTATCAGCCATAGTATGACAGTGATAAGGATAAACTGGAAACCAAGTCCTTTGAAATTTAGATGAGTTAATGTTCTCTCTCCCTCCCTCTATGTGTGTGTATATGTGTGTGCATGTTCATATGTATGTACACATGTGTGCATATGGGTGTGCATTTGTGAAAGTTAGGGTCTTGATCACTCATCACTTTATATTTTTAAACCTCTCATTGAATGTGGTAGTCTCTAGCACTCCAACTGTCTCCCCTTCCCCCGTTAGTGTTACAGGTACAAGAGACTATATTTGACCTTAAAAATATTTGCTTCATTCTTGTTTTAAGAATTTCATACATGACTATTGTTTTTATGTCACTTCTACCCCTTCCAGTCCCTCTCCAGTCTCTCCCATGTTCCCCCTACTTCTACCCAATGTAATGACCTCTTCTCAATTATTATTGTTATGAGTTATATACACATGTACACACACAAACACAACCTGTTGAGTGCATTTAGTGGTGTGTGTGTGTGTGTGTGTGTGTGTGTGTGTGTGTGTGTGTGTGTGTGCATGCATGCTTGTTTGGGCTGACCACTTGGGAGTCCCTGAATCTTTTTTTTAAGTCTAAGGATGGGGCCTACCTTGTAGGATTTCCTCTATCAACTTTGAAATGCCATCTGGTATTGTTATTGTGCAGGTTTTGTTTAGACAACTATGTTCTTAGGATTTCATGCTTGTCTCTTTTATGTGGGTGTTGGGACCAAAAGTCAAATCTCTTTGTTTTTCTGTGATATGAATTTTACTGATGGAGTCATCTCCAGCCCACAGTAGTTTTTCTTTGGTAGTAAATGTTAAATGTATATCGCTAAACTTAAAATAAACTCCATGAATAAAGGACATCTGGCCATTTTATGATGTAAAGTAAGATATATTAAGGTTACAGAATCAAGAAGCTTATATAAACCTTAGTTTCTTTATATTTCTGGATGTCTAGAGATTCTACAAATCTAAATATTTTTTCTAAATCTTTAAGCAAAAATACTGATCTAATATTATCTGAGTTATTTTCTAGTCTTATTTATTGCTTAGGGTAAATATATATATATATATATATTGTAGAAATGTTAATGTGTTTTATTATGAAATGCTGCCCCAGGCATGTGAAACAATAATCTATAAATCACATCATGTTACATTTGTGAAATTAAAAAAATGTATTCTGATGCACATCTGGTCTCAGTAGACTGAGAAGTATGTTGTTTTAGTTCTCTCCCTTTTTCCAGATTGTAGTTAACAATGCAACAACCTAATGAGGTCATAGGCAAATCATATGAATATATTTGGGGCTTTTACTCACTATTTCATTTTATGCCTGGAGACATTTTTCTAATTATTTGAGAAAAAGGTATCTCTTTCTTTCACATCTGTCATATCTATTGGAGCTCAGTGACAACCAACAAATGTAGTTTTAGGGGAGAAAAAAGTGAGTATTGCCTTCAAAGCCATATGTTCAAAGGCAGGCTTATCTGTCTCTGGGTCCCACATGCTCAGAACCCAGTTGCTCTGAACATTGAAGTAGCACAGTCGGGTGGCCTAGTGTTCCCTTCTTTATGCTGCTTAGCATCGAACTAAAGAGGTGGCAATTCTGTTATTTTTTCTTCATAACCTTGTAGGCAGACCCTATTTCTGGCTGACTGACCCATGGCTGGCTACTTCCCAACTGGCTGGCTGGCTGGCTTCCCTTTTCTTTCTCTCCTCCATCCCCACATATTCCTCCTCTGCCTATCTATTGACTGTTTAGTTTTATATTAGACCAATCAGGTGCCTTAGGTGTGCAAGGTAAAATAGTAACACATCTTTACATAGTTAAACAAATGCAGCATAAAAATGCAACACATTTTACATAAACAATTATTCTGCTACACAAATACAACATATATTTATATATTTAAACAAACATTGTCTCCCACAACATTGCCTTGCATAACCAATGCCATGACAGCAAAAGTAAGTGGAAGTGCTTTGAAAATTGTAAATAGTAACACAATATAAACCATGACTTTTGATTTTGAAGGTCAGACAGTGGGAGATTCTCTCTGGAGTAGAAGTGAAAGGAAAGGTGTCCTAGACGAGAAAATGTGTAAGGTGGTTGTTAAGTAGGTACCATTCATGCTATAGAGGAATTGTGATGCCTAGTCCTGAGTGTGGAGGATCATATGATCACAGTGACTATAAAGAAAATGATAGTAATGTTTATTGTGATAAATTTGAAGTATCCAAATGTAGTATATTTTTCATAATGAGGTAAAAAATTCAGACAGAAAAGTTTAGTAATCCGTGAAAATATTGTTGCTGTCTCACTACTGTCGAACACGAAAGCTTCATCTGAACATTTCCTATTATAGCAGACAGTTTAATCCTTTAAGAAGAAGGATGAACAGAGTGATGAAGGTTTTGAAGAAAAAAAAAATAAAACTGAAGAGGGAGCTAAAAGCAAGGAAAGCACCAGAAGAAGAGACAGGAGATAGAAAGGAGCAGGAGACTAGAGGTAATTGACATGATATAAAGTTGAAGTGCTCACTATTTGATTGTTATTATTAACTTTATATGTCTATCATTAACCCATTTGACTGACACTTATTTTTGCATGCAAATATTTCAGAAAGTTTATCATCTGAAACTATTACAACTAAGGATGTCTGGATGACAATAAAATAGTGAAGAAAAGTACTCAGTTGTTTGGGTGTTGCATTATTTGCTAAAGAACAGTACATCCATTCAGTGTTAATAAAGAAATGGAATCCTTCTGTTCTGACTCTAATGCTACATGCTACTTGATAAATAATCATGGCCACAGTTTCCAGTGTGTCCTGGACATAACACTTACCCAAGGAAAGGTTGACATATCTTTAAGCCTTTAAGTGAGGCTCAGTGCGTCCATGATACATGATTATGGGGTCCATCTTTAAATCCTTTCTAATCCTGCACTGTGTGTATTTGATGAGCAGGTAGTATAGCAAATATCTAAAAGTGCAAAATATGATCCATGTTTCTATCAGACTGCTCAAGTATATTTTGATCAGCATACCCAGGTTATAGTTTGAAGTTTTTGTTGCTGCCATTTACTTTTATAATAGAATATGATATATACATATATTTGTCATTGTAAGATGCATAACTCTACTTATTTTTTTTCATAGCATTTCTTTCTGATTGAGAATGCAGACCTGCCAGAAGAGAGACTTTCCTAGTCATCCAAATCTAGTTAACACTAGAAAGACTTGTTTTGTCATAGTTTCAAATAAAATTAAAGTTCTGTTTTGTGCATCAAATCAGAATCTGGATTGTTTTTCTTAAAAAAAATGATTCTTCTGGGACCAGGAAAATGTCTCAATGATTCCAGTGTTTAATGTAAAACATGAGGACCTGAGTTTGAATTCTAAACACTGGTAAAAAACTGGGTTAGAAACGGTTGGGTTGACTGCACATGCTTACTTTAATACTATTGGGGAGGGGAGCTTGGAGGCAAGGATCACTAGAGCATGCTGTCTGTTTAGCTTCAAGTTCAGTGAGACACCTTGTGTCAGGGGAGTAAGACAAATAGTGATAGAACAGAACACCTGAAAATTTTTTACTGGCCTCCTTACATGCATAGGATGTGTTCATATACACCTTTTGTGGTAGTTTGAATGTATTTGTCCCCCGTAAGCTAATAAGGAGTGTACTATTAAGAGGTATGGCTTTGTTGGAGTAGGTATGGCCTTGTTGAAGGAAGTATATCACTGTGAAGATGGTCTTTGAGGTCTCCCATGCTCAATAGTACTCAGGGTCACAGTCTTCTTCCTGTCACCTTCTGATCAATATGTCTACCTGCACACTGCCATGCTCCCCATCATGATGATAATGGACTAAACCTCTGAAAATGTAAGCTGCCACGTCAATTAAAATTTTTCCTTGTCAGACTTGCTGTGGTCATCTGTTGAAAGTAATAGAAACCATAACTAAGATACCCCTAACACAACTATCATTGTATACACATACACAAATAAAAATTTGAGAGATATTTTTTCTTTATAAAATTAACTATAACCAACTATACAAAGCTAAATACTCTTAAAATGGTGTGGTACTTTTGCTATTTTTAGACAGGGTCTCTCTATATAGCTCTGGCTGACTTGGAACTCATTATATACCCAAGTAGACCAGGCTAGCATCAGAGTCACAGAGATTCATCTTCTCTTGCTTCCCTAGTGCTGACATGTACCACAAAACTAGACATGGTATTCTATTTTTATGATTTTTTTATTTAAATAAGAAACAAGTTTGCTTCACATGTCAATCCCAACTCTCTCTCCCTCCCTTCCTCCCCTGCCCTCCTACCAGACCCCCTAGTCTCACACCCAATCCATACTCTGATTCCCATGGAGGGTGAGGTCCTCCATGGAGGATCTCCAGAATCTGTCATATCATGCTTAGAAGGGCCTAGGTCCTCCCCCATGTGTTCAGGCTGAGAGAGCATCCCTCCATGTAGAATGGGCTCCCCAGGTCCATTCATACGCCAGGGATAAATGTTGTCTGAGGCCCCATAGATTCCCAAGGTCTCCTCACAGACACCCACTTTCAGTGGGTTTGGATCAGTCCCATGCTGGCCTCTGAGCCATCAGTCTGGGGTCCATGAGATTCCCCTTGTTCAGATCAGGTGTCTCTGTAGATTTCATCAGCCAGGTCTTGACACCTTTTCTCATCGCTCCTCCCTCTTTGCAAATGGTTTCCAGGAGTTCAGTTCAGTGTTTAGGTGTGGGTCTCTGCCTCTGCTTCCATCAGCCACTGGATGAAGGCTCTAGGATGGCATATAAGGTAGTCATCAATCTCATTATAGGGAAAGGGCATTTAAGGTAGCTTCTCCACTATTGCTTGTAGATTTTTGGAAATCTCATTAGTGCCAGATCTCTTCTCAAACCTATGACTCCTTCTATTATGGTATCTCTCATTCTGCTTTCCTCTATTCTTCCCCCGACTCAAACTTCCTGCTCCCCCATGTCCTCCTCTCCCCTCCTCTTCTCCCACTCTCTTTCTACAAACTCTCTTTCCCCTCCTGCCATGCTCCCAATCTGTTCAGGAGATTCCCTTTCTCCGGGGACCATGCATGTCACTCTTAGGTCCTCACTGTTTCCCAGACCCTCTGGCAGTGGGATTGTAGGCTGGCAATCCGCTGATCCATGTGTAAAATCCACATATGAATGAATACATACCATGTTTCTCTTTTTGTGACTGGGTTACCTCACTCAGGATGGTTTCTTCTAGTGCCATCCATTTGCCTTCGAATTTCAAGATTCTATTGTTTTTTTTTTCTGTTAATACTCCATTGTGTAAATGTACCACATTTTCTCTATCCACTCTTCAGTTGAGGGGCATCTAGGTTGCTTCCAAGTTCTGACTATTACAAATAATGCTGCTGTGAACATATATGAATAGATGTCCTTATTGTATGAATGTGCATCTTTTGGGTATATGCCTAAGAGTGGAATTGTTGAACCTTGTGGTAGACCTATTTCCCATTTTCCTGAGGAATCTCCATACTGATTTCCAAAGTAGCTGTATGAGTTGGCACTCCTACCAGTAGTGGAGGAGTGTTCCCCTCTCTCAACATCCTCTCCATCATAAACTCATTGGTGTTTTTTATTTTAGCCATTCTGACAGGAGTGAGATGGTATCTCAGAGTTGTTTTGAATTGCATTTCCCTGATGGCTAAGGATGTTGAGCACTTTAAGAGTCTATCAGCCATTTTAGATTCCTCTATTGAGAATTCCCCATTTAGTTCTGTACCCCATTTTTAATTGGATTATTTGGTGTTTGGGTGACTAGTTTCTTGAGTTCATTGTAAATTTTAGAAATCAGCTCTCTGTCAGATGTGGGGTTGGTGAATATCTTTTCCTATTGTATGGGCTGGCCATTTTGTCTTGTTACTGTGTCCTTTGCCTTACAGAAGATTCTCAGTTTCAGGAGGTCCCACTTTTTGATTGTTGATCTCAGTGTCTGTGCTACTGGTATTATGTTTAGTAAGATGCCTTCTGTACCAATTTGTTTAAGGGTACTTCCCACTTTCTTTTCTAAGAGGTTCTTTTTGGCTGGATTTATGTTGAAGTCTTTGACCCATTTGGACTTAGGTTTTGTGCATGGAGATAGAAATGGATCTATCTGCAGTCTTCTACATGCCAGTATCCAGTTATGCCAGCACCATTTATTGAAGATGCTTTCTTTTTTCCAGTGTATAGTTTTAGCTTCTTTGTCAAAAATCAGGTGTTCATCTGTGTGTGGGTTAATATCAGGGTCTTCAGTATGATTCCATTAGTGTACATGTCTATTTTTGTGCCAAGTCATTACTATAACTCTATAGCAGAGCTTGAAATCAGGATGCCTCCTGTAGTTCCTTTATTGAACAGGGTTATTTTGGCTATCCTGGGTTTTTTGTTTCTCCATAGAAAGTTGAGTATTGTTCTTTCAAGGTCTGGGAAGAATTGTTCTGGGATTTTGATAAGGATTGCATTGAATCTGTAGATTGCTTTTGGTAAGACTGCCATTTTTACTATGTTGATCCTACCTGTCCAAGAGCATAGAATATCTTTCTATTTTCTGATATCTTCTTTAATTTCTTTTTTAATGACTCAAGCTCCTTGTCATACAGGTCTTTCACTTGTTTGGTTAAATAATCCCAAGATATTTTATGTTGTTTGTGGTTATTGTAAAGGGTGATGTTTCTCTGATTTCTTTCTCAGCACATTTATTGTCTATAGTTGGTAGGAATACTGATTTTTTGAGTTAATCTTGTATCCTGCCACTTTGATGAAGGTGTTTATCAGTTGTAAGAGTTCTCTGGTAGAATTCTTCAGGTCACTTATGTAGAATATCATATCATCTGAAAGTAGTGAAAGTTTTACTTCTTCCTTTCCAATTTGTATCCCCTTGATCTCCTTTTGTTGTTTTATTTCTCTAGCAAGAACTTCAAGTACAATATGGAGCAGACATTTCATTAATTTGCATGTTCTTTTTCTGCCTTTTAGTTAGGTTGGATAAAGGTTTGTCTATCTTGTTGATTTTTCTCAAAGAACCAACTCTTTGTTTCATTGATTCTTTGTATTGTTTTCTTTGTTTTGGCTTTATTGATATCAGCTCTCAATTTCATTCTTTCTTATTGGATTTCTTTGCTTTCCTTAAGAGATTTGTTGATTTCATCCATTTTAAAAGGGATTTTCTCATATTTTCTTTGATGGCCTCTATCATTTTCATGAGGCTGTTTTTAAGATCATTCTCTTCTGTTTCATCTGCATTGGAATGCTCAGGTCTTGCTGGTGTACAGTCCCTAGACTGGTGGTGTCATATTGGTTTTTCTGTTGTTGAATGTGTTTTTATATTGTCATCTTCCCATCCCTTCTTTCAGTGGTACACTTGGTGTCTCTTCTTCCCCTGGTGTGTACAGTTATAAGGTTCTCTTCTGGTAGGTTTAAGTAGATCCAGTACTCCGATGGGTCTCAAGCAGAGGGTGGAGGGGGCCAAGACTGAAGTGTGACCACACCCAGGATGGTCCTTTCTGCTGAGGCGGGTTCACTCTAGGTGTGGAGCAGTCCAGGAAGATCCAAAGCTGGGTATGTGGGGAGTTGAGCCCCGAGTAGAGACCACTCATGTCATGCAGATGTCAGTGGGTGGTGGGGGTGGCAAGACTCAAGCAGAGGATGGTGGGCGGAGGGCAGGCCAAGACTGACGTATGGGCAGACTCACAGTGGTCCTTTCTGCTGGGGCCGGTCCACTCTAGGTGCGGAGCAGGCCCAGGAAGATCCAAGGAGGAGAATGTAGGGAGTTGGGGCCCTGAGCAGAGCCCACACTCACCTCAAGCAGAGGGCAGAGGGCAGAGGATGGCCCAAGGCTCTAGACCTGGTATTCTTTTTTTTTCACTTAGCACCATTTATTGTACTAAAGGTTAGCTTTTTCAGAAAACCCAAGGTAGAAAACATCCAAGTCTGAAGATCACATTTACAGGACTCCAAAGGAAGAGCAAACATGACTCGTGCCATAGGTCTCCACTCTCTGGTCAGTACGGAGAACAGTATTCAAACTTCTAGTTTAATAAGACAAACATAAAATCTTTTTGAGACAAACATAGGTTTAAAGAAAATAAAGAATTTCTTGGGCACCTGCTGACTTCCTGAACACAGGCATCCTCTACAATGGCATGTGGCCACTTGGCTCATGGAATGTTGTGGACTAAGGAGTGACACAGAAAGAGTGAGGGGAAATATTCACTTTGCTGATCTTAGAGCATCAGCCTGCACTGGAG